ATATATATTAAAAATTCTCTCTAAAAAAAAAAAACAGGGGAATGCATTACAATTCTTATTATATGTATCCAACACAACTTTTCATATCTCTGGTTGTATATAAAGTATGTTAACCTAATCAACAAATGGGCCAAAGACCTGAACAGACACTTCTCAGAAGAGGATATATAATCAATCAACAATATATGAAAAAATGTTCATCATCTCTAGCAATCCTGTTTTTAATGGTTGATAATTCAATTCCTTGCTGTGTGGCTTTGGTACTGAGATTATCCTAGGAATAGCTAGTGGGAGTTTCTTAAAGCTAGCTTATCGGTATTGGAACATGGTCCCATATCTTTTTAAAGTATTTTTTTGCTTTCTGGCATAACAAGATGTTTGAATGTACCTTCCCTGTCCCACCCCTACAATCTTCCATTTCACTGAGTAGTCCTGGCTCTTGAATGTGTTCCTGTGCTACCTGGCTATGGTGATGGTGTCCTGAGTGTATACACACATCATTCCTATCAAATTGTATGTTTTAAAGATATGCATTGTTTTATGTAAAAGCAACACCTTAAAAGAACCATCTTACAAAAAGGGTACAGTGGAGGAAATAGAATATTTTAAGGCATTAAAATAAAAGAAAAATTAAGATATAATTTTGGGGGCATATAACATCAAAAACAATCAGAGTAATTACCACAAAGTTCATGAGAATGGTTACTTTTAGGGAAGAGGTGGCTGCCTATGATTGGGCCCATTATCATGAAGCACTGCTAGAGTAGTAGGTAAGGTTTTATTTTTTGGCGTGGATAACAGATACCAGAGTGTCTCCTTATAATAATTCACCATATTATATATTTGTTTTATGCAATTTTCTTACAGCTTAATGTATTTTATAATAAAAAGTTTAAAAAAATGAATGCTATATATGTTCATGATGATTTTTATATAATTTTCTAGAAATTAAAATCATATTTCAAGTAGGGCAGACCCATTTATAATCTAATAGATTTTATGACACAGTTTATTAGCTATTTTGAAAATTCAGAAAATGATTTGGCATAGTTAATGAGCAGTCTAAATAAATTTAAACTGAAATGCTAGTCTTTCTTAATGTTTTGATTGTTGCTATAAAACCCAATCACATAAGTTAAAAACAAGTGTTTATTTAAGATTTAAAATTTTCATTTTGTTCTTTTTAATAGTTTTTATTTCTCTGCTGAAATTTCTCATCTTTTCATTAGTTACAGATTTTCCTTTATGTCTTTGAGCAGAGTTATAATTGCTCCTTTAAAGTCTTTGTCTGTTAATTTCAATATCTGAGTCATCACAGAGTCAGTCTRTTAACTATTTTTCTCTTGAGAATGAGTCACACTTTTCTGTTTCTTTATATGTTAAGTAATTTTTTACTATAGTCAGGATATTGTGAATATTATAGTGATTCTGGATTCTATTATATTCCTCCCCMAAAAAATGGTTAGTGGTGGGGTGGTGCTTTCAGTAGCCTGTTCCCTTGGTTTCAAACTACAGCTCTGTCTCTGGGCAGCAGCCCCATCTCATGTCAGCTGTTTTAACTGGGCTACTTGGAATCTGCCCTGTGCAGAGCTCAGCAGAATTTACATATAATAAATTCTCCCTCTCTGGAGCCCCCTTCATTTTCCAGCAGCTGTGGTTATTCAAACACTGTGCTCTGGTTTTTGAGGCCAGAAAGACTGGCATTTTCTACCAGGGTTTTAATTCCACCTGGTGCATCTTGGGTCCTGCCCTGGGACACAGCCTGAGCCTATACTGTCCCCTCATCCCAGTGCCAGCACTCTTCCATCGTCTGTTCTTAATAGAACCAGTCCTTTCCAGTCCCTTTACCTAGGGGTTCTTTGTTCAGATTCTGTTTTGATTAGTTTTGTCCAGAGTTCATTATTTTTATTGAAATATAGACTTGTCTGATAGAAGCTAATTTAGCCATTAGAAAAGTGGATTAAATGCTTATTTCTTTAAAGACATAATAATATGAAGATCTTAAGAAATTCTTTTTGTGGATGAGTAAAAATAATGATAGCGAAAAATGCTTACACTTTATTTGTAACGTACTACATTTTAACTAATTTAAAATATTTTATTACTTTAGGAATAAATCTAATGAAGCTGATGAATGTCAAAGAGAACTAAGGAAACTGAAGTTTGAATCCATTATTTCTGAATCACGGTATACACTGCAAACTTTTAATTGATATTTTTATAATTAAATTTGAAAACATTATTTAAAATGGACTTATCTTTTCTTCTTAGTTGTTTACATGTGTCATACCTAACCCAGTGTTATTGTGTCCTATGATTGTTCCTTGATTTTGCCTCTACATAGAGGAGAAAGCTCAAGATCACAAAGCTATCATGTTCTAAATATCTTTACTTTTTAAGGTTACAGTTACAGTCTCTAATTTCACATGAGCTTTCCATATACCTTTGATAAATATAAAAACATACTATCTATGGAGCTGGGGTTATGGCTCAGTAGTAGAGTGCTTGCCTAGCAAGTAAGAGGCATGGGGTTTGACCCTCAGCACCACATAAAAATAAAGAAAAGAAAAGAAAAATGTTATGATAAGAAAAACAAAACACTATCTAATACATGCTGGTGAGATTTTTWAAATTTTTTCGGTTCCTTTTTAGGCACACTAGGCTGCTTAAAGAAAAAGAAGACTCTTTAATGACTTGTCAACAAATATATAAAGCTTTACAGGAAGAGCTGACTGCAAAAGAAAGGCAAGAAGAAGACACAAAGAGAATAATTAACCTCTCAGAAAGTGAGTTAGAGATAACCAAAGTTCTTCTGAATCAGACAAGACAAGAGGTCACAACGCTGAAAAATGAAAGGTGCAGTTTCTTACAAAGCTCTTTTATCTTTAAATCAGTGTCCATATATATTTGAAACACCATTATCCTACATATTTGTAACAGTGAAGTCACAGGACTAAAGACACATTTTTCTGCAAGGTCACTGCATTTCACTATCTCATTTTACAAGTGATTACACTGAATCCCAAGTCAGTTAATGACGTGGTTAAAGGCCTCATAGTTTAGTAAAAGTAGGGATGGAATTCAAGTCTCATTTGGTGTCAGATTAAAAGAAAAAAAAATCACATTCCACTAAATTTCACCTGGGCCAACTGTTGGTAAATTCTATCATTTTCAACAGAAAAAAAAAAAATATCTTTTTAATCACATTATTTGTCTTGGTTTCTGAAGTGCTGGTACTGGACCCAGGGCCTCAGCATGCTGGGCAAGAGCTTCATGTCACTTCTCTGCCCACCTTTCTTCCCTCCTTATCTGTCACCTTTTTTTTTTTTTTGAGAGCATACCACAAGCAAATGTACCTCCTTAGTGATACTGATGATACTGAGAAGCATGTTGGTCCAGCCTTTCAAGATATTTTTGTCCAGTTAATTTGCTTTAGATTATTAAAACTCTGCTTTCTTCCTTCCTTGTTTTACCTTGTGTGTCTTCATTCATTCTTTCTGAATCTTTTTGTTTCAATTGCATATCTGCAAAGGCTTTTGTTAGTTGTGGTGGTTTTAAAATCTGGGAATCTTTTTTTTTTTTTAAATCTGGGAATCTTTAATGTTAAGAGTTTATCCCATTCACATTTATTAATAATTATTATATTCCAGAAGAACCCAAATTCTATAAGGGCAGGAATTTTTGTTTTGTATTTTTCTCTGTAGCAGAAAGTACATGATAAGCCATTTGTTTTTCATTGTTCCTATCATTTTTATCTTTTATCTTCATTTTATTCTATTTATGGGTATAATTTAGAAGACTTATAATTTTTTAATTCTTCTTTAAAATGGCAGATATTTTCTGAGGAAGCATCTGGGGATAGGGCCAGGGAAGTGGGTAGCAGGCAGCTTATAATTAGGTAATCAGGTTTCATTTCTTTTCTTTTTAGTTGTAAATGGACACAATACCTATATTTTATTTATTTATTTTTACGCAGTGCTGAGGATCAAACCTAGGGCCTCACACATGCTAGGCAAGTACTCTRCCACTGAGCCCCAGCCCCAGCCCCAGGTAATCAGGTTTCTTGTCTCAGAACTCTTCTCACCAGTGCAGCCATGGGCAGAGTAGCATGAGGCCTTTGTAGTTCACAGGCCAAAGTGACTTGGCTTTGGTCCTTCTAGAGATGACTTTGCATCTACTGCCCTTTGACTGAATAAGAGGAACAATCACAGACATTCCTCAAGGTTCTCACAGGAACCTGACTTTCTTCTCTTCACTTTTCCTTCTTTCAGTAAATCCACCCTGTTTTTTAGCTGAGTCAGTTAAGCTTTGATTTGAAGCACCAGTAGGACCTCTAAATAGAGCTGTCCTTAAGAAGTTAGAGGAGAGATGGTCCCTCCAAGAGAAGAAGCTGGACTCAGGAAACACTTTGGACACACTGAGACTTGGCAACATCTAAGAAGATGGACTAGGTCCAGGGCTGTCTGAGAACCTGCTGTGCTACTCTAGAAGCACCACATCCCCCCAGGCTGTAGGGTATACTTGCTCACCAAAKGCCCGAGCCCAGCTTGCTCCCAGCAACAGCATGTGTTTTTATAAATCCAGATGGTCTCAGATAGGTGCCACTCCTCAGGACAAGGGAGCCCTTACTGAGGTCACAAAATGTGAAATTTAGAAGCTAGGTAGCTTCAGAAGAAGAGAGAAACAAACATAAAAAGCCAGAACTAAACCTAGAGGGGGATTAAAAAAAAAAAAACAACTAATAAAAGTTCTGACTTGAAAGAGGAAGGGAAACAGGGACCAGGAAGCAGTTAATCCATTCATACAGGCCTGTTGAACTATGCACGGCTTTCTCCTAAGCACAAAGGATTGGGTCTCTGAGGAACATGCAAGTCTACAGGTAGTGATGGTCATGGACACCTCGGGGCTGCTGAGAACCTTGTTTTGGATGGGGAGGACGTCAGAGAGGTTCAGCGTAGTGCTGGAGAAGTGTGGCAGCTCTTGTGTGGGGGACAGAGGTCTTTGAGGCCCAAGTGTGTTCTCGATTCTCTATAACAGACTTACATATATAAGGACATGTCATAAGGACATGTGTTTTTGTCTTCTGTCATATTTTTAATAGAAAACTATAAACCCTCTCCCCAGAAAAATACATACAAAATCCAACAGATTTTTCAGGATGCTCTTTCCCTTCATATGGCATGACCCTATGACTGAACATACCTGCTTCCTCCTCCTTTTTCCCTCCTCCCCTGCCCCAGTCCTTTCCTCCATCCCTCCTGTTTTCTTTCCTTCTCCCTCACCTTCATTCCTCCCAGCTGTCTCACATATAGTCAACACATTCAGCAGCCTTCGGGACATTGTCTTATCTTGTTCACATACTGCCCAGGTGAGATGCCCTACACCGTTGTKTGGGGCCAGCAGCAGGGCTAAGGGGCCTGAACATCAGCGTGGACTCTGCGCTTCCGGCAACTTGCCACAGAGGAAGGGACTTATTTCCTTGGAAAAGCATGCCATCTTTCCTTGCCAACCCCTGTATCCACAGATGTACCCCCAGACAGAGGGAGCACTTTTTCTAATTCACCAGCCCAGAAGAGAAGCCACTTTCACATTTGCACAAAGGCACTGGCTAGCAGAGCTGTGACCCTGACCTCTGACACAGGAGTCATTGTGTACATGTTATAGATGAGGACACTAAGGTCAACTGAGGCTACGCTCTGACTCAGGGTCCCATATTTGGCAAAGACAGGAACAAGCTCTATTGTGTGTGACCTTATAACTCGAGTTCTCTTCTCTCTGGTTTGCACAACTTTTCTTGAAGAGCTGTTTTCTCAGTTACTCTCCATGTGACTACTGGTTCTCAGCCAGGTTGTAACACTAAGTCTCCAGGGAACTCACTGACCTGCAGAAGGCAGAAAACCTCGTGTTCCCCTCTGTGTCCCTTCCGATTCTACTTCATGTGCACCCCATCCACTAAGTGAGTGTGAGAGGGTGTCCTCCAGCACCTTGACGAATCAGAAGAGATGAGAGCACTTGACATTGAGCTACTTCAGTGAGGTGGACACAATGAGCAGTGGATACTATACCTAGTATTAGATATCAGAATGGCTTCGGTGATACGAGGGTTCTAGGACGTTGTGGCAGTGTGGCTTCATGTAAGAAGTATGGTTGTCAAACGCAGGCAAGCACCAATTTAAATCCCAGCTTGACCAGCATGAGAGCAGGCAGCTTAACCCCTGTGAGGCTTCTTTTCTTTACATGAAAAATGGTCATATTAACAGCAGCTATCTTTTGTAAATATTAAAGCATCTAGAATCGTGGCCATCAGATTATAGGTGCTCAGTAGGTATCAATTTCCTCTTTTTCATCTTTCTTGAAGTTGTAATTCCCTTCAAGCATCATATTGTGTTAATTTATACCCTGCACTATCCATGCAGATATTCAGTAAATATCTGTTGAATTCAGTATTATCTGCTTTGCTCATACTGTTGTAAAAATTAATCCTCAGAGTAATTCAATTTGGATGTTATCCCATTAGTTTAAAGCATTATGAAATGAAGCATTCTAAGTGATATTCTAAAATAATAAATCTTAGCAGGTTTTTTTCTCCAAGATGCAGCTCTTTCTCTGATACCCTATTCATCAGTAGCTTCAAAACAACTGGTTTGCCAAACTTCTCATCTCAGCCTTTAGTGGGGATAGGAATTGTGACAAAATCAAGATGATCTTTTGATTGACAGTGTGAAGATGTCTTCACTTGTGAAATAGAATTTAAAGCTGTTGTTTTGGCAGTATGCTTTGACATTTGTTTGCAGTTACATTTTTTCTATAATTAAGGGAATCTAGATTMCTGAATGTCTGTAAGAAATGAAATTCTCATTGGTCTCAGAATTGAAAACTATTTTTAAAAAAAATACTCTTAACTACAAGTATTTCCCCAATTTTCCTATTGTGTCAACTTCAAAAATTCTATTTAAAAAAAAAAAACAAACAACTATTGCACTGGGGATGTAGCTCAGTGGTAAAGCACCCCAGGTTCAATCCCAAGTACCAAACCCCCGCCTCAACAAAAACCAATCTGGTGACATTGCAGGTTAGAAGGTGAGGGATAGCCACACTTCCTCCGCAATCTATGCAGAACATCGGCAGCCAACTGCCGAGCACCCTGAGCTGGTCTGCCCCTGCGACTCATTTACTACTCAGGCTTCATTTCTTCTAAAACTGTGGGAATGTATAAACATACTCCTAAGGAGCAACAAGAAAGAACCGCTGTGTCCCCAGAGACAGAAACAGTGCCTGACACCCAGCAAACACTCAATAAATATTTGCTGTGTATATGGGTGAGAATGGATTTAATTCTAATCAAACAGCTGGTACCATTGTAAAGCTGGGAGGCCCCCAGCTTCTCTCCAGGCCCAGAGATCTTCTGATTTGCAGCATCTGAGCCAGGAGTGAAGTGCAGACTGTGGATTCTAGTGACAATCATCCTTATTTTAAATCTGTGTTGTCTTTTATAATTATAGAGCATCCACATTGCTAGAACTGGCTCTAAAGAGAAACCCTGCTGCCTTAACAGCTGCAATTTTTATAACATGAAAAATATGACCAGGCCTCTAAAATTAATGTTCTAGTTCTCATAATTCCTCTAGATTCCTAACAGAAACTTCTCCTGACAACCAAGTTGGTCAGTCTAATTTTTTTTCTATATAAGATCACTATCTCTTATCAAAGTCTTAAGATGGGTTTTTGCCTGAACAGTGTGTGGGTTTTCTCTTTGGAGTCCATGTTATCTTTTTCACACATAAGTCACTGCTGTATACTGCTTGTTGCCTGTGCCATTCTAGTCCAGGACTACCAGTGCTTATAAATGACATATT